ATGCACAACTAAGAGATTTTTGATCTGCCAATGATGAGTTTTTGTGACTTTTAGGTGGTCATTTAGTTTTGCATTTTCTTGTATGGGCTATTACTGAAATGTATGGAAATCCTGTGGCATTTCGCAGGAGTGAGACATGGGATCTGATGAGGAGAGTAGCCAGACTTGACGCGGGGGCTTGGCTTATATTCAGAGATTTTAATGAGATCACAACGATTGAGGAAAAATAGGGGGCAGAGATAGACCTGAATCCCAGATGCATGAGTTTCGGCAAGTGATTGAAGAGTGCGAGCTAAAGGACCTGGGCTATAGTGGTCCCAAATATACCTGGTGCAATAGACGTGAGGAAGCTGGACTGGTTTTCGAAAGATTGGACAGGTTTATGAGTAACCAATGTTGGTGTCATCTTTATGAGAAAGCTGCTGTCACACATGGCTCTATCTCATATTCAGACCATCTGCCTGTTTGGGTAGAGATTTTGGGAATGCCGACTAGGAGGTATAGGCCAAGACCATTCCGATTTTAAGCTATGTGGATGAAGGAAAAGAATGTGCTGAGATTATAAAAGACTGTTGGGGTAATACTGGCCAGAGTACTTGCTGCTAGGAAGTGATGCAGTGCATTAATTCATGCAGTTCCTCTCTTCAACTTCGGAACAAATCGAAGTTTAGAAATGTTGATTCGAAACTAAAGGAAGCCGAACAGTAGCTAGCCCTCATTCAGCATAGGGAACCTGCAGTATTAAACATTCATGACATCAATTTAGCTTCTGCTGAGGTTCAGAAATGGCTGGATAGGAAGGAAATTATGTGGAAACAAAGGTCGAGAGCGAGTTGGCTGGCAGAGGGAAATCAGAATACTAAATTCTTCCATGGAAAAGCTACTCAGAGAAGAAAGAAAAATACCATTTTAAAGCTGAAAGATAACAATGAAACCTGGCTAGAGAAGGATCAGTGTGAGATGCTCATCCTCAATCACTTTACAACGCTATTTGCTCCTGCTGGACCTATTAATATGGAAGCCGTCCTGAAAAAAGTTGAAAGGAAAGTGACAGAGTCAATGAATGTAGACCTGACCCAACAATACACAAGAGAGGAGGTGATCAAAGCGCTAGAGGAAATGCATCCTTCAAAGGCGCCAGGCCCGGATGGTATGCCCCCTTTATTTTTCCAGCACAATTGGTCTGTTATCGGTGATTCGGTGATTTCAGCTGTCCTTAGTGCTTTAAATATTTGTGCTTTTCCTCTAAAGCTTAATCATACATTAATTACTCTTGTGCCAAAAAAGAAACACCCCACAAAAGTGAACGACTATAGACCTATTAGTTTATGTAATGTCATGTATAAGCTAATATCTAAAGTTGTTGCAAATAGGATTAAGCTTGTTCTCCCATATGTAGTTTCGGATTCTCAATCAGCTTTTATTCCTGGACGTATGATCACGGATAATGTCCTAGTTGCCTATGAAGTCTTGCACTATCTAAGGAGAAAAAATAGAGGTAAAAAAGGCTATATGTCTCTAAAGCTTGATATGAGTAAAGCTTATGATAGGGTTGAATGGGACTTTCTTGAATTAATAATGCTTAAGCTTGGCTTCCATGATCAACTTGTACAGCTAGTCATGAATTGTGTGAGAAGTGCCTCTTTCTCTATTATGATTAATGGAACTCCTACGGGTCATATAATCCCTTCTAGGGGTTTGCGACAAGGTGATCCCATATCTCCGTACTTTTTCCTCATCTGCACTGAAAGGCTCATTAGTTTGCTAAAGGATGCGGAAAGAAGGAAATTAGTGGCTGGAATCCGTGTCTGTAGAGGTGCTCCTGCTCTTAATCACCTTTTATTTGTCGAAGACAACCTGATTTTTTGTGCTGCCAATGAGGAGGCCAACAGAAATGTGTTAAACTTGCTGAAAAGGTACGAGGAGGCATCGGGACAGCTGATAAACCAAGAGAAGACTATGGTATTTAGCAAAAATGTTAAGGAGGCAGAACAGCGAATCATAATGAATTTTTTGGGTGTTTGTCGGGTCCAGCAGTATGAGAAATACCTGGGATTACCCCCTATGGTCAGGAAATCTAAAACCAGTTCTTTTGCTGATATTAAACCGAAGGTTTGGCTTAAATTACAAGGATGGAAAAACAATATGTTCTCACAAGGAAGAAGGGAAGTTCTCCTTAAAGCAGTGGCAATGGCTATTCCTTCATACGCTGTGTTGTTTTAAACTTCCTGCTAAACTTTGTGTAGAGAAGGAAATTATGATGGCCAAATTTTGGTGGGGGCAAAGAAATATGGAGAGAAGGTGCATTGGGTTAGTTGGAGGCGTTTGTGCAAGGCTAAATCAATTGGTGGCTTAGGGTTTAAAGATTTGAGCACTTTTAATATGGCTATGTTGGCAAAGCAAAGTTGGAGTCTACTAAAAAATTAAGACAGCCTGCTATTCAAGATTTATAGTGCAAGGTATTTCCCACAGGGAGATCTCTTTGCTGCCTCATTGGGGAGTAATCTGTCGTTTGCTTGGAGAGGTATCTTCGAAGCCTCTAAACTCATGGCTAAGGGGGGAAGATGGAGTGTAGGGAATGGGTCTTCTATTTATATTTTCAGAGATGCCTAGGTTTCGGGTTTTAGAATTCTGCAGGAACCTGTTTCTGTAGTGAATATTATGGGCGAAGTTGATATAATGGAGGCTACAGTGGATTCTCTAATTGATCAATCTACTAAATGGTGGAATATTCCTCTTGTTAGAACTCTCTTAAATCTAAATGTGGCAGCAACAATATTAAAGACTCATCCATCAGCTTCGGGTGATGCAGATCAGTGGATCTGGGAACATGAAAGAAACAGGGTGTTTACAGTTAAATTAGCATACAAATTTTTTATGAAAGCTGCAAACCAAGGTGAACCCTCACACGTAACTGATTCAATGAAGTTTTGGAATGATATTTGGAAGTTAAAAATCCCAAATAAGGTGAGAATATTTGCATTGAGGGCTTGTAAGGAGGCTCTCCCTTCAATTGAATCTGTTAGAAAAAAAGGTTGGCCTAGACCTAGTATGTAGTTTTTGTAAGCAGGAAGACGAAGACTTAATTCACCCATTATTTACTTGTACAGAGATACAAGCGTACTGGATAAAGAGATTTCAACACTACCAACCACCTCGATCGATTGTGCAAGCAGTGAAGGAGATGCATTCTAAGGGGAGCACTGAGGAACTTACAGAGTTTATTCTTATGGCATGGGGCGTGTGGTATAGGCAGAATAAAATGCTATATGAGAATGAGAGAGTCCATCCTTGCCATGTTATTTCTTTTGCCCTTTCCCAAAAGGGTTATGGTTTTCCTATGCCGAAGCAAGCTAAGCAGAAAAACCATCTCTGGAAATCTCCTCCTACAACTTTTTTCGAGCTCAACATTGATCGGGCTGCCTTCTTTGATTTTAAAAAATCTGGTTCGGGCGCTATACTCGGGAATTCTCATGGGGAGGTAGTTATGGCTTTAAGTAAAGTAGAGAACGAAGCTTTTGAAGTCGAAGAGGTGGAAGCAATGGCACTATTGAGAGGCATGCATTTCATCTCAAACCTTGGTATATAGATTTTAATCATCAATAGTGTTTGTCTGTAGCTATGTTAATATGGCTGATAAGTCAAATGCCAGGTATAGAAACGTTATTGCAAAAGGCAAGTGTCTTATGAGCTCCTTTACCATATGTATCTTGGAACACTGCAGCAGGCTCACAAATGGTGCGGCACATAGACTTGCAAGGCAGGCATGGAAAATGCAAGATGTCCAACTATGGTGGCATAACTGTCCTGATTTCATTGTAAATGTTGTTTACCATGACAAACATTTTTGAAATCGGGTTTGAGGGTTTATGCCCATGTTTCAATGAAGCAATTTTTCTATCAAAAAAAAAAAAGTTTTGCATTTTCTTGAACGAGAATTAAGAAATATTATTAAGTTTCAGGGTTTTTACATTTTTGGCATCTTTGAGTTACCTGCAATGATGCAATTTATTTGATTCTTCAGGTCTTGTTGAAACTAAAGCTTCGTTTTTTATTGTTATTGACAACTCATTTTTCTTGAATCCTACCTAGAAAAGAAAGAAACATCGTTGTCGGTTCTCTCGAAGCCATTTACAAACTAACTAGCATGGAGTGCAAGAAATTCGAGAATATATAGATTTATTTATGCCAATGACATTCTAGATGTTACGACTTTTTCTCAAATTAAAAGTCCACGCCAAGAACGAGGATAGACTGTTGTACTCACCTTTGTTTTGAATCTTATTGTTGATTCTGGAATCCTTCCTTGTAATTTACTCTACCTTTGACTTGAGATTAGGGATAGACGTGGTTGATTCGATCCACTTCTCATAAATAATAAAAATCTTATTTTTTATAAAATCGAACGGGTGCTCAATATATTTTGAGCCCGTTTGGTAGAGATTAAAATCGAATTAAAATTGAAAAACTAGCCGTTATTGTTGACTTTTATTAGACGAGTGGGGCCCAATAACGACTATATTTTCAATTTTAATTTGATTTTAATCGATACCAAACAGGCTCATAAAGTATATAGTTCCATGAAATTTGCAAAGGATTTAATCGATACCAAACAGGCTCTAGCGATTATGGGCATTTCAAATAATAGAATGGCTCGAGGGGTGCTCTATGAATCCCAGTATCCATTTGAGATAAAACAAATAAACCAAAGAAGTGTGGACTGAATTTCATAGTTCTGATCAATAATTCATGGTGAAGCCGAGTAAATTAGTTGATTTTTAAAAAATAATAAATAAATACTAGGACAAAGTCTTCGTACGTAACTGCAAGTTGACAAACTCTTCTTCTTGCTCTTTTCCTACAAAATAAAAATAATCCTTTTTTGTGCACTTGCAGCCATATATAAAAAATTAAGGCTCTTCTTCATCCCCAGCAAAGTGTTACTTCCCATTGATCAAAGTTTGTCTAAAGCCTTAAAATTGTTTGAGTTGCCTAGTAGAATGGAGTGTAGGAAATTCGAGATTACTATTATTTCTGCAGATGATCTTCCAGATGTTAGGAATTTTCTTCAAATGAAAGTTTTTGCAAAGGTTTCAATCCAAGGACAATCCAAAACTACCAAGAAAACCCCAGCTGACATGGAAGGTGAGAAAAACCCTGTATGGAATTTTTCCACCGAGTACACCATAGGAGAGGCAGCAGTCCAACAAGAAGGTATAAATATTAGCATCAAATTATACTGTAAAAGGACTCTTGGAGACAGATTTATTGGTGAAGTGAATTTACCATTGAAAGAGCTTTTTGATAATGGATTAAGTTCTCAAAATATGAGCTATGCTATCGCAGGAACCCCTAAAGGAAGACTGAGTATTTCATACAGATTTGGTGAAAGGATTTTTGTTAAGAAGCCTTCTGGTTGGAACAAGGCACTAGAGTTTGGATTCTTGATATTAGTTGGAGGAGCACTTCTTCTTTTAGATGGAGCAGATGATTCTCAGATTCCGGTTTTTACAGATTCAAAGGATGCAGTTGTCGTTGATGACGGTGATGTTTTCTACGATTTCCCTGATTCAGATGGAGGAATAAGATAATTTCTTTATTAGAGATAGCTTTATAGACGTTGAGTTTCTTTAATGATAGGAATTCGTTCTCTCTTTTCATAATGTCAACTGGATCTATATCGAATGTAACATATGATTTTGAGCCATGTTGTTGAACTAAAGAATTAGACACAACAAAGCTCAGAGCTTTGAATTCCAAGCAGTCTACCAAATGTTGCTCTCAATCTTCAATAAAAACAAACCTTTTAAATATAGTTGTTTTAGAAGAATTAATGAACAAATCTGGAGAATTCTTTAAAACGCCTGATTGATGGGTGTATTAGACAAATTGGTTGGTGTATGGGCATAAAGTGTATAAATTAAAGAAAGACCTATATTGACTCTTTTTGGAATTTACTTAATCATGTACAGTGGAAATAAAATAATTTTCAATTCCCACCAAAGATCTGCAATGTGTTTAGATAGAAACTGTGATAAGAATTATACATTTGATGAATTAAGCAAACTCCTTTGCCGATTCTCGAACTTCAATAATCACGATCTACAATTGACCAGCCTTCAATGGTGATCCACACAGAGAATAAGAATGACGGCTAGGGTTTCTTTTCTCGTGCTAGCAAGAATAATGAAAATTCTCTACGATTTACAAACCCTAGCAGCTTATTAATATAAGCTCAAGTGGGCTTG